GGCACCACTTCCGCAAATACCGGAAGTAGCCATCAACTTTGTTACTTTAGGGACCCCTATTTTTTCTACATTTTTGGACTCTACGTCGAATTTGGAGTACAACGATACTCATAGTTGATCCTTTGCTTCAAGGGCTTCGTGGATATTCAAGTTTTTATGTCAAAAATGAAATTTTCAGGGGTAACTTTAAAAAGTTATTATTCGAAAACGGTAAGAGATATTGCAAAATAGTTTTCACTGCTTTATTAAGGAAATAACCATCTAAAAAACTGAGCTACGTCGCTTTTTAAAAGCTACTAATTTTTTCAAATAGAAACCTATATTTTTTATTGAATATTTAAAGACATTCTTCCAAAAGCGCGATTTTTAGTTTGAGCTAGGAACCTGTTCTGTCGAGAATTTGGGTACTTACATTGCTTTTTTGTAATTTGGCAATCGTGGAACAAACCTTGGTTACAGTAAATCAAACAATAACCAAATAAATGAAATGAAATAATGTCCTTTAACTTTGAAAAGGCGAAAGGGAGGTCTCAACATCAATGTGAAGTGTTGACTTGATTTTGTATCGGAAAAGCTTCACTAACAATACTTTCGTGTTTCGGTTCCGCAAGGATCGTTTTTCGTAAATAGCTAATATGGACTTAGTTCTTTAATGCATAGTTGAAATTCTACAGCTAAAGTACAACTGACGGGCGTATTCCACATTCCACAGATTTTTTATTCGATCACCGCCGACCAATCTCAAATAGAATGCAAATAGATAATATTATAATTATACAACGCTAATATGCTGCAAAGATATGCTAGAGAGACAAAAACGGAACAAGTACAGGTTCTGCGACCCTTGTGGTTTACATTCCTACTTGTGCACTACCGCACACTTTACACAAAACCTGATATCTACTTGAGATCATTTATTTCTGCACCGTGCACAATGCAGAGAAACTGGAAATAGCTGAAAGCAAAGCCCGTATGGATGGATGTGGCAAAGCATCGACATAAAAATTCATTCCACATTGTGAAAGATAGCGATTACGAATTGCATGTCTTAATTTCTTCGCCACCGCATACAACTTTCTTATAAAACAAAGTTTTAGTAAAAAAATCCATTGTGCTGATAACCTTAGAGTTTATTAATACAATGCAAGTATAGTATGTCAATGACAGCTCCTACTCATGGCTGTACTGGCCGACCTTGACCTGCCCTACTATTACAAATCTTTTAATGTATTACCTCAATTTCGTGAGCGTTTCTGTTGCAAAAACACTATTCATTGTCCTTCACTCTAGCTATTCTAACTGTAAAATGTTCTATTCAATACATTCCTTATTCGATCTTCGTGTATTGCTATTTCGACAGATTTATTATAGACGGAACTAAAGTTAACTGAACTTCTCTCTGAATAAATTTGGTTGAAACATTTAAATTAAGAGAGCTATCATTAGCACATCATACGATTAATTCTATACTATCCTATTTCATCAATGATCATAGCCCCAGTTACACTTCCACATCTCAGGCAATGTCAGAGTACAGGATTACAATTTGCAAAATATTTTCATACATGTTTATGTTGAGCAATTTATCATCATTTACTACTTGATGGTAAATTATGTACTATCGTATATTCAGTGTTTCATTGAAAATCAAAATCATAGAAATAATCCATAAGGTCGACGCTTACATGCAGTTTGGTTTTGAATAAATGAATTTTGGTATATGTGAATTGATTGAAGTGCCGTTGACAATTAGGAAATCTTCTAAGCTTTAACATCCCGATTTGGATGATAAACATGAGGAAGGGTAGAAGGCCGTAGGTTGTTTGTAAGAACGGGCCATTCTTTTTGAAAAAATGGCCTGCTACTCTTTCCTTCCTCTTAGAAAACAGTTTTCAGCGCAACCAGCACTCCTGATACCTCGCGTGGGTAAAATTATCGGTGAGGGTAAGCATGTGTCACCCTTGTTATATTAATATTGAAAAGTATTATGGAAATTGGGGACAAAAACTTACAAGTTTTAAAACTCTATACATTTTAGCAGCACGTCCTAGAGCTGTAGTATTTACGGTAGGACCACCAATGGCAAATAGTGTATAATTTAATCTTCATCACTATTAATTTCTTTTAATTTAGGCATAGACCTTCTCTGTAGCAAATTGTTTCCTTGTCTGTTTTTCTCTGGATCTAAGTAAAACTTTTCTCTATAGCACAAGGGAAGAGAATTACATTGTGTTTTCGAGCTATTCGCTTTGTGATCAATCGGTGTTTTCCAGCCAAACAAAATGGGTCCGGCAATAGATATCAGATACGACACGTTACAATTACCTACAAAAAACAACAAATCACAACAGGTTGTTCATTCATTAGAAGCTGAAATATCTTTTATTATTAATAGACGAGCGAAATCGGGGAAAAAATGTAAACTTTTCCAAACATTTCGCATCGTAGCGGTTGGATCAGAAAAATACGAAGAAAAATGTACAGGGTGGCCAAATAAGAATGCGAGGTACTGTATCTGGGAACCTGTCCATCGTAGAGGCTTGCGGTAAAAAAGTTATTACTAAAACAGCCACGAAAAAAACCTGGAAAATATTTTTAAGTTTTTGAAATGGCCGCGAGGGGGCATAACTGCAATCTGGAATCTAAGAAAGTGATGTTTCTGTGAATTCCGCTATATTACCCTAACAAAAAATGCCAGGTCTTTGAAGTCGACGGCGGCATTAAAAGCTTCCTTTTTTAAATCGATCCTCCTTAGGGCCACAAATTATATAATAAAAATAATTCCGGAAAAGCTTTAAAAAAATAAAATTTTGAGGGTATAAAATTTTCTTTGGCCTAAATTTTAGGTTAGGAACAAGATATCGAGATGCGGTTTTCGCGAGCTTGTTTAGGCATCATTTAGCTACTTTTCATGAAAAAAAAATCAAACCAACGCATTTAATTTTTTTAAGAAAATTAACCATCTCTGTCGGAATATCGAAAAAAACCCTCAAGCGGCAAAATGTGAAACTAACAAAACTTCAAATATTATAATATTTGTAGCCGAAGACTAACTCTTTTCAATTAACCCAAGTTTGTTAAAATTGGCTCAGCCGTTTCGAAGATACAGGGTGTTCTTTACGGAAACCTTTGAATAACCACCACCACTTCATTTTTAGAGGTACAGAAAAAATTGTCAAACAAAAAAGGTTCAGATTATCGTCGTCTTCAAAGACCGGACATTTTTTTGTTAGGTTAATATAGCGGAATTCACAAAAACATCACTGTTTAGATTCCAGATTGGAGTTATGCCCCTAGCGGCCATTTCAGAAACTTAAAAATATTTTCCAGGTTTTTCTCGTGGCTGTTTTAGTAATAACTTTTTTTACCGCAAGCCTCTACGATACAGTACCTCGCATTCTTATTTGGCTACCCTGTACATTACTGGTTCAGCCATCTTCTCAAAATTTCGTAAGGGGTGCAAGAATGTATTTATCACATAATTTACAAAAATTATAAACCTATATGAAAAGTTGGAGAAATCGCTTGAAAATTGTTACCCGGGGATTTTCATGGTCCCCAAGTACAGGTATAGGTACCCTTAAACTTTTCTGGTGATACTTACGCGGCGCTACGGAGTGCCGGGGATGTAGTGGTGTGAAAAATTAACAGTACCGAGAAATTTCTCGGAAATCCTTAGTCAGTGGTATTCGGGGTCGCTGAGTCCAAATCTGCTCTCGAAATTGCCCGGCGGTGCGCAGCGGTTGGGCTATACAGGGGTGCCGGGAGGTACAGTGGGGTGAAATTAAACGTGCCGAGAAATTACTCGAAAATCGTTACTCGGGGGCTTTCGTGTATAAAAAATTATATTTCTCTCAATTGACATTTTCTACTGAAAAGTTACCGCCGCCTCCCTCTTATCGCCACCCCTGGGCATTCACGGGGAATTTTGAGGGCAGATCTGGAATCTGCGATCACGAAAATGTGAAATGCGCTATTGTGGTCACTTTGTCCGTTCTTCTGTCCGTCCGTCCGTGGGCCGTCCGTCTGTCCGTTCGTCCGTTCGTTTGTATATTTTTGTATGAAAGACTTTTTGTTGAGTGTAGTACTACAAACTTGTAGCTTTTTCATAACACAACTTTTGCATATACCGATAAGGTGTGATACAAAATTGCATGAAATCATCAGCGACATGGCTGTTCAAGAAATAATTGAACCATTCTGCAGCCCTTGGACTTCACCCGTGGTGCTAGTGAAGAATTGCTCGGAAAAGATGACCGCTAGATACGCTTGCAGGACAACAAATAAATACAATAAACAAATCGATCCCAGTTGACGTGAATTCGTATACTCTGCCGCGGCAAATGTGTTGGCTACTGACGTCACGCGGTCTAGTCTCGCGCACAGGTACGTTTTTCTCTTCGCGCTGACCCTTGATTTTAAAATGCTTACAGCGGACGTAAATATCAATATTTTGCTCTAAAATTTTTTTTGATCGTTTGTTAATAACAAAATCTCTCAGTTTTAGTTAGAATGAAAGAAATACAAACAAGTTGTAAATCAGCATATGCATGATTAAAGCGCATTTTTGGTAATACAGGTCAGTATTTTATTAGCGAAGTTTAAAATTATCGATCTCACATCTCACGAGTAATTTTGGCTGCGTTAAATAATTAATTTTATTTAATTTCAATTGAGGCTACGTCTTTATTTTGTAAAACAAAACACAAAGTAAATAATTAAGTTTTTATACTGGTAGCGCTATCTAACGGTAAAATATAGCACCTCCAAAAACCATATCGAAATTATTTTTTTCAATTATCGATCTCACACGTAATCTAACTCAAAATAGAGCCTAGAGCCTGCACATCTACACGATAGCAGAAAGCTTTTAGTGAAAATTTGAAGTCTCTAGCTATTGTAGTTGCTCAGATCTCACCCGGACAGCCGGCTAGCCAGCCATAATGAATATAATAGCGTATTTTTTTCAAAAATGCGCTAAAAATGTCGAACCACCCTACCTCAAACCAGGAAATTTATGTGATGGAAAATGTGTCAGATAGCTATTTGGTATTTCTGACTTATCTTCGGAGTAATCGCATCTTTCATTTAAAAAATGACTTGTAATTGACACCGTCAAATTACAGGATTGTTTAGAATCTACAATCTACACTTAGGTAATGGTTGGATTTGGTGTGAACTTACGCTTAATTTTTCTAAAGTGTAAGGAAGATGAGCATTAGTAAGTTCCGATTGGCACCCTTGTGTTCAGTTTGTGCGGAATCGGAAACCCCGATCCTTATTTAGTTTATCTTTTTTCTTAGTTTCGTATAGCTATTAATCCATTGCCAAGTAGAGTATACAATTGTTAGCTGTAGTTGTTGCGGCAACCTCTGAAATAAATACCTTGATGATATAACTTAATGAATGATATACAATAAATAAATTACGAGACCCGTTCTACCTGACTTTGTTTATCACGTAAATCAATGGAAATAAAGGTGAATATAATATGATACATACATAGTCGCTAAAATGTAGATTAAACGTAGGCATTTTGCATCATATTATCTTGTTATTTTTATATACCTAGCTAGCACGCGAAACCGTTGACAATGAAACGAGGAACAAAGTCTCTTACATTTATTACCGTAATAATCATAAAAAGGATGTTACATAATAATGAATTAAAAATAATTTAAACAGAAACAAAAATAGTAATGAAACGCAAATAGAGTTATTGAGAAAAATGATTTATATTTTTGCACAATTCTTCACCATTCAAAGGGAATCTTGTACGTCATTAAAAGTAAATAAAAAAACGTCGGTTTCCACTAAACTTCACGGTCAACCTAACGCAATCCATTTTTTTATCTATTAAGATATTTATAAGAAAATGAAATTTTGTATACAGCCTTGAATGAAAGTAAAATTAATGCCAATTCAGAAAATTTGTTTTGCGCATGCGCCATCTAATTTTGTTATTTGTTAAGATACATATTTAAACGAAAGTTTGCATATAAACACCTTGAATAAAGTAAAATTAACCGATTTAAAAATTTGTTTTACGTGGGACAGAATCAGCCACCATATATGTAAAAATGATTGATGCGTGGAGTCTCGCGGATCGGCGACCGAGATAGAAAAATAATCAGCACGTATCGTTATTCCAGGTTCCGGGTCCAGTTAATTCGCAATAAAAATCAGCTTTTCCGTTCTTGTGAGCAGTACTTTTACATGTACAAAAGAGTAGTTCCGACCGAGCGGTAGCAATCGTAGCATCATATCAACGAGAGGTAGTACTTCTGGTGGTAGAAGAAATCAGAAAGATTTATACACGGAAAATGTGTTTACGTATTGCTTAGTATACGAGTTGAATTGGATCGTGAAGCGTATATATCGATCTTCTCTCGGAACAATTGCCCATTTACGCTAAGGAGTGGAACAAAACGTAGTGTAAATCAGATTATTTGTCTGGTAAGCGCATTTAATTACCAGTAGATTTTACTAATTATTATTAACCGCACTGCATTAAGTAAAGCTTACTTGTTTGTAAGTAATAATTTCCTTTAAATTGAGGGTCGTAATCACCACGGTGTTGTTAATAAATATTTTGAGATTAATCTGTGGTACGAAACAATAGCTTACCGTATCTTTTATACCGCCTTATTTACCTTTCTGTAATCGACACAAAAGCTTCCATCTTCCATCGATCGGCGATGAACATGGACTGTTTGATGGTCCTCCTATACCCTTGGCAAAAATATCATCCAATTATGCATTGACGATCTTCTGCAACGCGGGTGATATTGGGTAGAAGCGTTGCTTGATCGGCTCAGCATTGGTTGCAATTGTATGCTAAACCATTCATTTGGCATAACCATCATACAGATTTTAAAGATTTAGAGGACGCTACAAAGAAAACCAACGATGCGACAGAGAACGACAACAGAGGGCGAATTAAAAATATGCATGAAATGACGGGGGATAGAGTAAGGAATTAAAAGAGCAAACGGAATAAAAAAAGGGTGAAAACGGAATGGTGGATATAAGATAGCGGAATTCGATATAATTGACAATCACAAAAATAAAAAGGATTCTAGCGAATAGTACGCCACTGGTATATATAACCCCAAAAAAATCTCTAATTATAAAACCAAATATTAACGCTAACGTACAATACAAAAGAAAACTTCATGCGGGGTTTTGAAGGCACCAAAACTAAATACGAATTCAAGAAGGAAAAGGAACGTAACAAATGAAGAGCCTTTTTTTGTCTTTTTGCCAATCAATTCAGCAATAAACATTCTGTATTTATAACAAGGTGCACAAGAGTTTTTATTTAAGACCCAAAAAGCGACCATAAGCAATAACAAACGAAGAAAATATTTAAAATAAGTAAGTAGCGTACTCCAGTCCAAATTGGAGGTTCTACACCGAAAGTGTATAGATTGTCCATGATCTTTTAACACCACCAGAACTATCGTAATTATGTTATTATGACAGTTAGCTAAGAAAGCTCTCCCTTTAAAATACACAGAATTGTTGAAAAATTTGCGAATCGTATAGTGCTCGTACCAAACGGTCCCATGCAATTAGTTTCTTTTTGAATGACATGACAAACGTACTGTCGGAGTGGACCGATTAAAAGACAATAAAAAAAATATATGTACATCACTTAAATTTATTAGTTAACATTAACAAGTATAATCTAATATGCTACACGATAGTAATTTATTGTTACCCAACTAACGATTAGATCAAATGATCTTGAGACATTCGAGGTCAATCAGTTAAATTAGATTATGTATTGATTGATTGCCAAAAGCTGACAGCGGTAAATAAACATTGCCCTGGAAACATCTTCATTCAGCGACTGCATGATTTACTCATCGACATCTGCTGTTTGATTTTCCTCTGTAATAGAGGGATCATTAATTGTAATTGCATGGTTCTTGTTCTTATTGTTAGACGATTTGTAAGTCATGCTATATGCAGATAATCAACATGATACTTAATTCTACTTGCACATAGCTTAATTATCGATTAAACTTCTTTGCCTCTGCACGTGAATTGGCTTTAACAAAAATGTTCACTGTCCGTAAATTTTGGAGAATAAACCAAACGGTTTCGTTGAAGAGGTATTTTATAAAAAAAACGTCCATATAATTTAGTATTTACTGATGGTGGCCATTTTACAGATTTAGTGACTTTTGAAAAAGTGACTGCAAACACATGAAAATCTATAACTAAAACAAACCTGTATTTTATATACTACTTCTAAAACGTATTGTAAATTTTTATATTATAATTATGCAATGTTGACGAGTGTAAAAAATACGATACTGTATTTATTAAGCACAAATAAAATAACCCGAGCCACACTTAGCAAGCTATTTGTATGTGAACGGATTTACTTTATCCATTCGACCACTGAATAGCAGCACTGCAGCAGTTCTGGTCGAACTGCGTCAATTACTCAAGATTTACATTTTGTCTTAAAAAAGGCTCCTCATCTATCCAAACACTTTCTGAAGATTTGATATCTTCAGCACACAACCATTTCGTATTGGAGAAGGTGCTAGAAAACAGTTATTTATATAACAAGAGCGCGAAGTTCAATTTCGCGCATTGAGACTGAAGGTATTTTGACGAGGCGAAGCCGAGTTAAAATATCAGTCAAATGCGCGAAATAACTTCGCGCTAGCGTTATATACAATATTTTTCCTACAACTGAACCGATTGTTAATTAAATTGCTGTTTAAGTTCAACTTTGTCCCGTGCGCGAAATACTTTTTTGCACTGTTGACGATTTCGCGCACGTTGTCAAGAGCAACCTTACTTATTAATTAACCGATTAAAAATCTAGTACTTCGCGTTTCGAAATCCGTCAGAAAATGACAGGTTTTTTTGACAGTTGTAGAAAAAAGATATTACCTGTCGACCATTTTCAAATCTTCGTCACGTGTTACATATCACCTAGCACATCAGCTGGTAACCGTTCTGCAACAGGAACACGTCCTAGAAACGCTCAGGGGCAGATAAGAGAAGAACTCTCGGTACCTATAGTTTATATTATTTGGTTTTCCTTAAATATAGCGTTGTAGTTAGCCGCGTATTTAGTTTGCAACGTGAATAACATTTTAGCGTAGTAGTTTTGTTATATTCAACTTTTTGTATAAAGGACATGTCTCAAAACCGTTTATTCGTATACATGAATTTGCAGTTCAATGACAATGAAATAAGTGTTCATTTCCAACCTACAGACACTGAATTCATTTTGAGTTGAACGAATCCCCATGTATTAACTTGCATGTTTCGGTCATATTATTTTTTTATTTTATATGAAATTTGTATTCACGTTAGATACTACAAGGATGCTTTGCTTCTGCTCAGGTTTCTGAAACTACAATTCCAAAAAGCTACGTATAGCTACCTTTCGCAAATGCCTTGTTAGTGTAGTTTATCTTCGAGCTATGCTGGTTAGTAGCGAAGATAGTGGGAACATCAAAGCACCGAACAAATAGAATAAACCAGATGACACAAGAGATCTGTAGGTACTTATTTGAGTTTCCAAAAATTCTCAGAGGTATTTGTGTACAAGATCTTTTCCTATACGAAACATTTGATGGACGTTTGTTTTAAGGCGTATATGAAAGAATGTCAACTTTTACCAAAAGGACACATTTTCATTTTGCAATCAATTATTATTTATATCAGCGATGAAGTAAATCCCACAGTTAATGTACAACATACTGCATAATATTTCACTAAAGAATTTGTAAAGTAACTTAATTTTATGTCGGTAATTTATATATTCATAATTTATGAGTTTCGGTGGTGAAGTGCTTTGCAGGAACCTCATTCGGTAAATAATTTGGAAAGTGGAATGCCAACCTACCATTTGATAAATTTATTATATTAATTATGGATCAAATATAATAAATAATCATTAAGCAATAAATTAGAAATTAAACTATAAAGTGATATTTCAAATGGAGAATTTTAATTGCGAATGCCAAGTTCTTGCTTCCTTAAAGTCTTACCGGGTATTCGCAAAAAGAAAATTAAACGTAAGAAAAGGAAAAATTAATTTTGTTTTTAATACAGTTGAATCACAGCGATGCATTGGTGTGAATAGTTAATTATACACAGGTGTAATTAGTAATCTCAACTCAATGCCTTCCGTGTTTTTTTGTAGTGATTCAGTTCTGCCATTCAACTTGCGGTGAATGTTAATATCTAAATTGGCTATTGAAAACGTGCAAACATTTCTTTCTTATTGCGCTTTTGTTCATTACGAAAATTATATCACTATTCTATCACATTAATTAGAAAAATTGGATCAAAAAGGAATAAACATGGCCATTTTACAAGTCTTCGTTTATTTGTATTATACAATAATTAATATTAAACATTATAGGTATAAAGTACATATATCGAACATTAAACATTTTTTTTTAAGATTTAGGAGAGGAAGAAAATTCACCTAAAGCGAAAGGTAAAGTGCCCATAACCCTAGCGGCATTGCCGCGCTGAATAGCCGGACTAACTTTTAGCATTGGAAATGCTTATGTTTTTTTGTGTATGGGTATGAAGTTAC